GGAGTAGGGAGTCCCTAGACGGGTGCAGATCAAGGACGTGGAGAGTGGATGAGGTCCTGGGTCCAGGCAGGAGATGAGGGCACTGTGGAGAGAGGTGTCACTGCCCTCAGGGTCGGGACCACGGGGTGCAGAGAGCTGACTGTGCTGTGTCTGGGTGGAGGTGGTACCCCAGGGTGGCACGGGCCTCTCCTGTGTGTCAGGTTTGGGCCCAGTGCAAGTCCAGACCCTGTCATCATCAATCAGGCCCAGCACTGGCTGCTCTGTAGGTCCTTCCTTCCTGGTAGGAAAAGGTGCCCCTCACCCCCTGGAGGACAGTGACTGCCCTTAGGTGCAGAGTCTGTGCTCCTCCATCCACAGCTGCACACTTGCCTTTCCTTCCCCAAATCTGCACCCACTCAGTCTCAGGAAAGTCAGTTCCACCATGGCTGCTCAGAGAAACCTAACCCAGCGGCCCTCTCCCCTTGCGCCCAGCAGTTGGTGCTCAGCGGTTGGTGCTACTTCAGAGCACATTGTCATCATGGAGTGTGTGTCCCTAGTGCTCTGTCCCCACATCCAGCACACACACCACACTCCTGTGCCTTGCCCTGTCTTCAGGCGGCTGAGTCTTTAAAACAAGTTGGACTCTGCCCTTGGCCCAGATGTCCAGCACCTTCCCACCTCCAGCTGTGGCCCACTTCCCTCGAGCTCAGCCTGCCCCTCGTCCTGTCGCCTGATGCCGCCCCTCCTGCCTGTATCCCTGAAGAAGCACTGTCATCCCCTTTTCTCTCTCTCCCTCCCTCCCTCCCTCTCTCCCTCTCTCCCTCTCTCCCTCTCTCCCTCTCTCCCTCTCTCCCTCTCTCCCTCTCTCCCTCCCTCCCTCCCTCTCTCCCTCTCTCCCTCTCTCCCTCTCTCCCTCTCCTCCTCTCCTCCTCTCCTCCTCTCCCTCCCTCCCTCCCTCCCTCCCTCTCTTCCTCTCCCTCCTTCCCTCCTTCCTCGGTTCACTCACTCTGGCCGGTTCACTCACTCTGGCCGGCCCAGGCACACCCTGCATTCAGGGCTTCAGCTCTGTCACTCCTGCCAAGTACTTAATTCCCTCACTGCTATGCCCCTTTCCTTCTGTCTGAAACACGAGGACTGCTAGCAGTGTTAGTAAAACTCGAGCATCTCTAGTCAGAAATGTTTCAAAATCCAGAAATGTTTGAAAGAGTCGGGGTTTTGGAGCCTTTCTGATGGAAGGTGCTCAGTGGTGCCATTGGTGGAGGTGCTGTCCCACTACCCTAAAATATTCAGAGGTGGAGCCACTCTGCTTGCAGGCATTTGGGTGAGGGCTCCTGACCCTGCGGTGCGTTAGGGTGGTCTGAGGGCACTTTGACAAGGTCAGTAAGATGGCCTCAGAGGTTGAGCTCTGGTTTGGGTCTCTTACTATTTTTTAATTTCTGTTTTTCTCCCCCCCAGAGACAGAGTCTGGCTGTGTAGTTCAGACTGGCCTTGGAACTTGCCATGTACCCCAGGCTGGCCTCAAATTCAGTGGTGATCCTTCTGCCTCAGCCTCCAGAGTGCTGGGATTGCAGGTGTGCGCCACCATGCCTGGCTATTTTTTAAAAATTATCAACGGATATTTATTGACCTGGCGTGTTTGACCTGGGTGGGGGGCTTTGGTCTCTCAAGTCCATTTTGAAAATCTTCCAATCTTTTGCAGTTGTTTTACAGTGTGTTTGTGGGCAGAAGGTCTCAGGTCAGTCGGATGGCTGTTTATAAAACTTTGGCAGTGTTGGGGTAGAGGGTACTGAAGTTTGCACCGCTTCAAAGCCCCCATCACTGTACCCCTGAAGACTTGGTGGCCCCCATGGTGGTGCTGTGAGGCCCCTTAGTGGCCCTGGAGTCTGCCCTCCTCTTCCTCAGGCCGGGGGCTCAGGCCCCTATGCAGTGCCTGAGGCCCAGGCTAGAGAGAAAGGAGGTGCTGAACCCGCCCAGGTTCTAGCCCTCTCCCCTGCAGCCTGTACTCAGGGCTTGCCTTAGAATGGGCAAGCCACAGCAGGGGTTTCTGCCTGAGGGCCAGCAGTTCCTGAACAGGCCTGTGGTGGCACAGCTCTGGTCACTGGGGTGTTCTATCCTGAGACAAGCTCTGCCCCTGGGAATTTTGGAAGGGATCCTAAAGTGCTAGTGGGTTGATCTGGCCCTCTTTCCCCTATTTAGAGTTGCTCTAATGCATTCCTGCTGCTCCTAGCAGAAGTTGCTTGCCCTTCAAGTCTGGTTTCTTCCTGAGGACTTTGTTGCTGTCCCTAGGTCTGTGCCTGCAGTGCAATGGCCGCCAGCTCTGGTGTGCTGGGACGCCAGCCCTGTTGGCCTTGAGGAAGGAGGGGCCACTCCTCAGCAGCACTCGCCCTTCCTAGGAGCAAATGCCCTGCAGGGTTGGGGATTGGTGGCAAGTAGGCGAGTTGGGCCTGCCTTGGAATCGAGGTCAGCGTCCACAGAGACCTCTGTGGGCGGCCCCGCCCCCTCCAGCTGCACTTGTCCTTCCAGAGGTGGGGGAGGGGTGCACACCCCGCCCAGTGACTGCCCCCAGGAAGCAGAGGCACAGGAGCAGAGGACTGCGGGGACTCTGGGGCCAGCATTGGTTCTGGCCAGGTCTGGCTGAGCGCCACGCTTTGGCTTCGTGGTGCGCCGCCCTGGCACTGCACACTGCACACATGCTGTGGGCTCCTGGGCTGCCTGCTGGAACCTGCTGCCAGAGCCTGGCTGGGGTCCTCTAGGCTGGAGAGAGCAGCCCTGTGAGGCACCTGAGGCCCGGTCTCCTTGGCCCCTCTGGTGACTATGAAAGCCGGTGTGTCTGGAGTAACGGGGGACTTCTGGCAGGGCCTTGGGTTCAGAGGAGTTTCACAGAAGAGAGCACAGAGCCTGCAGGGCTGGAGGTTGTGCTGGGACGGAGCAGAAGTGTGGTGGGGTAACCCTGGGTGGGAACTGCGAATCCCAGGGAAGGCGTTGTTGCCTTCTCCCTGTCTGCCTGCCCCCCTGCTGGGCACCAGGCTACGCCCGCACTCTCGCACTCTCAGGGGCAGAGGCCCCTGGTCCCTGTATGGCCCCTTGTCTGCGGTCCTGGTCCCCTCTTCCACCTGGACAAGTTGCTCCTGGCCCAGGCCTGGCAGTGCATGTGCCTGCTGCCCATGGCCTTGGCTGGAAGCTCTGCTGTCATCCCCTGTAGAGCAGCTGAGGGGCCCTGGTGTGGGCAGTTCGAAGAGGAGGGGAGGAGTGGCTGACACTCAAGGGCAGTGATGGGTCTGCCATCCCCTGGGGAGACAGGGCAGATTGTCAGTGGCAGGCTGGACAGGATCTGTGGTTGGGGATATAGGGGAAGGACAGACCATAGGACTCCAGAGCTGAACAGGCCTGAGAGCCAGGGTTAGCTGGGGCCAAGTGGGTGGGGTGCAGGATGGGTGGGGGCAGCTGGAGCCTGAGTCTGAAAGCCCATGGTGTCCAGGATTGGGGATCCCCCCTTCCCAGCTTAGTTGTGTCATGGCACTGGGTGGTGCTCAGAGCAAAGGTCTCGGTCCTGCCATCCCTGGGGAGCACAGAGCCCCCCTGGCTTTTGAGTTGTGCCCACGGCGTGGTGTGGAGGTACCTGTTTGGTGTGGCCCTCTCGCTGGGTGTAGCCTGGAAGCAGGCAGCCACTCTGCCTCTAGCTCCAGGCCCACCAAAGTGCATGCTTGGGCAGGGCCTGCACTAGTGAGCATTTGGGAAGCCAGTTCCTGAAAGGTTTTGAGTCTTGTAGCTGGTGATGGTGACGGCGATGGGACCCCTTTGGTGCCATGCTGCTGCCAGCCTTCTAGGTCGGGGACTCACTCTGCCTGGCTCTGCCTAGGACAGGCCTCCCAGAGTGCTCGCCAGGACAGAAGCAGAGTCACCCAGAAAGCAGGGAGGCACAGATAGACTGCCCCCTCAGCGTGGTGCACTCCACAAGTGTGAACTGGTCCTCTCCGGGCCCACAAGGCAGGTGCAGGCCATCCAGGAAAATTGTGACACTGTGGAAATTGTCAGACCTCGGGAGCTCGTTCCTTTTCTTGTCCCTTGGGTGAACTCTAGGGTGGGTTTTTTAAAGGCTGTGACTCTCCCGAGTCTCTAGTCCCTGGTCTGTTGGGACGTCGAGGCCTGGGCTCTGGTGGACCCTTTAAACGTGCCCATGCCCAGGCCCTGCTGTGGAATGCCAGCTGCCTCCCGCAGACAGACCTGCCACACTGTCCTCTGTCTCTGTGAGGGTTAACAGCACTTGAGCTTGTTGTCTGGAACCGGTTCAGACTGGTTTTCTGGAAAGTGCTTTGTCTCTCCGACTGAATCCTGGGAAGGGTCATGTGGAGCCCAGTGATGTCATGGGATCAAAAACTGACTCAGCTGTTTTGTCCTTCTTTTCTTTCTTCTTTAAATCAAGATGTGTGTGTTGCAGGTATAGGATGGTGGCACGGGGGCAGTCCGGGCCCCAACCTACTCCCAGTGTACCTCACTGGTACCCAAAGAGTTAAATGTGACCCTCACTCCCCACCTCCTGGAGGTGAGCAGGGAGTGAAGGGGCCTCCCCCAGGGCTGAGGCAGAGCCCAACTGAGTCAGTGCAGTGACTTCTAGGACGGCAGGGTCCTTCCCGGGTACCACACACCATGGTCCTGTGCAGGCTGAGTCCCATAGGGCATCAGCCCGGCACAAGGACCAGTTTCCCCAGTTTGTTCTCACGTCCAGGCGCACCCAGCTCCTTACTTTCTGATGAGTGGCCCTGATGTTGCTTCTGTCCTGCCTCTCGTCCCTGGGCCCCCGTGTAGTTGTTTGGGGTACCTCGGAGGCTGGGGTGCCCCTCCTTCCCAGAGTCCCCCAGGACTGTGGAGAAATGTCCCTTGGATGCCTCTTGGGGCGCATGTTTGTTGTACGTCCTCTACTGTCACCACACTCGAAGCCACACCCTGAAAAGTTTCTAGAAGGTAACACTTTGCTGTGCCCGGTTCCAATGGTTCCAATGCTGTCTTCTCCTCCCCTCAAGTCCAGAATGACCGAAGAAGCATGCCGAACCCGGAGCCAGAAGCGAGCCCTTGAGCCTGACCCAACAGAGGACGATGCAGAGAGCAAGAAAATAAAAATGGAGAGAGTACTGTCAGCTTCAGACCTCAACACCGAGGGGGACAAAAGGGTGACACCAGAGCTGGGAGCAGGCCCGGCCCAAGGACTGCTGGGGGCAGCGGAGGCTACAGCCGCGGCCATGGGCAGAGGTGAAGGGCTGCTGGCCGACAGGCCCGTGGACATGCGCACCTCCCACAGGTGAGTGGGGGGAGGCAGTCGGGTGTGTGTCTGTGGGCTCTGGCTCCAGCATGGCCCTGCTGGCAGCTTGTTGTCCCAACCAAGTGAGCTCCTTCCCGGGGCCCTGACACCCACATGAGTGTAGCTTGGGGTGTGGGGCTCACAGTGTTACTCTGCCTCCATGGCTCCCCATGCCAGCAGGGCTCAGCTAAACATACTTGCCACCTGTCAGCTCATTGCTTTTGGGTTTCATTTGGTCATGCCTTCCTGCTTTTCAGATCTGAGTGTGGGAGCCAGGGATGCTACAGCCTACCTGGGCCACTTGGCTGGTATCAGGTGGTGGTCCTGCCCAGGGTTCCACCCTTCAGAGGAAGGGTCTCTTGCTTGGACTCGGCCATCACTGAGGTCAGAGCTCCTGCAGCCTTCTGTGTTGTTTCTCCTCAGTCTTGACTTAATTACCTCAGGGGTGACTTTGCCCATACTCAGCTATCATGAGGGTCTTAGGTAAGAGCTTGAAAGAAATCAGGCTCAGCCGGGGACACACCTGTCATCCCAGCACTCTGGGAGGCTGAGGCAGAAGGATGGAAAGTTTGAGCCCAGCCTGGACAGCTTAGTAACTTAGTGAGATTCTGTCTCAAAACAAATAAAAGAAGCTCTCCGATATAGCTCAGTGTGAAGGCCCTGGATTCAGTCCCAGTACTGAAGGGAATAGAGTGGGGGGAAACTCAATCTTCACTTCATTTCTTTATTCAGAAGTTTTCTTTCTCCCCATAAAGAGAAATTCAGATGTGGCCCCTGCTCCTGCTTTACCTTTCCCTCAGATCCCTCCAGAATGTCCACACCGACAGCACAGAGTCCCGGCTTGTCTCCCCTACCGCCCACTGTCCAGGACAGGCAGGGCAGAGCCCGGAAGTTGGTGGCTCCTTGCCTTCCCTGTTAGTGTCCCCTGACCCTGCCAAGGGGCCCTGAGCTCTGATCTTTGTCCTAAATCCATTTTGGAGTCCAGACTAGGGAGACTCAGATTGGGTGCCCCGGTGTTTCTCGTCATCTGGACTTGCACCTCCTGGATCAGCAGGGAACTCCAGCCCAGTCCTGGGGTGCAGACATCTCGCACAGTCTGGAGGGGTGAGCTCCTCAGGTCCTGCCGTCTATGGAGGCCTTTCTCTCTGCCCTGTTGCCTGTATCCCCATTCTGACCCAAGCCTGCTCATACACTATAGGTCCAGGGCTAAGTCCCCCCTCTGCCTTGGTGGGTCCTCAGCAGGGAGAGAGTTTTGATGCCTCAGCCTTGTGTGGTGAACAGGTGAGCAGCTGGGTTGGAGTCAGGTGTGAGACAGGCACACATGTCCGTGGGACTCTCCTGGGTGCCTCTTGTGTTCTGGGCTCCTGACTTGCATTTTCTCCCCTCATCACCAAGTGGCTGTGCAGGGCAGGCCTGGGAGACAGGGAGAGTTTGGGTGTTGGCAGAGTTCATAACTGGGACTCAAAGTCAGATCTTGCTGCCAAAGCTGGGGTCTGGACCAGGGCTCTGGGACTCTCTGTCTCTTTCTCCACTGGGGCATCAGCTTCCAAGCTGGGATGACCTAGAAGATGTGACATTACTTACTGAAGTTGATTGGGATGCTTTCCCTAGGACGTGTAAAGGGTGCAAGGGACGGGGACCAGCCCAGGGCCTCTAGGAATGGTCCTGGAGCACTGGTGACACCCGAGGACATCTGTGGGCAGCAAAACACGGAATAGCCCAGCCTGGAGCCCAGTGGGCAGGTTGGGGTCGAGTCACCCAGGCAGGCCATTGTGGCCTGTGTCTTTTCCTGGTAGAATGGCAGTGATCTCCACCTTGCAGGTTGATGAGGTGGTGTGGCACGAGTACCAGGAATCAGCCTCCCTCAGTACTTGGCGTGGCAGAGGAGGCCCCCGCACCAGGATTGGTGACAGCTCCCCTTCTGCTGTCGCAGTAGTCAGAGCGTGCTGTCCTGTATACACCAAGGGCTGGCATCCCCTGAAACGAAGCTTCTGGCTTAGTCCTGTGGGAATACGGGGCGGTGTTCTGGCAGCACCACAGGATCCCACCCAGCCCAGAGCCACTCTGCTTATGGCCCTCACTGGGAGGGGAGTGGGCACCCTTGGGTGCCTCTTGCCAGCCCGGGGTGCCTCTGGTGAGTTTCCCAGGCTCCACTTCCGTCCCGCACAGGGAACAGCTGTGTCCAGCCACAGCGTGGGTCACTGAAGCTTCTGGCACCAGGCTCAGTGTGTCATTTTTAAGTTGTACCAAGAAAATTGAATTTTCATCCTTTAACTCCTTAACCGAAATACAGCAAACATAATGAAAAGTACATGTGCTGCCAGATACATTTGCACAAACAGCACATCCTTGTAGCTCAGAGCGAGAGAAGAACACAACTGGCACTCAGCAGCCCTGAAGCCCTGCAGCCCCAGCCTGCTTGCAGGTGCTGTCCTACAAATCCAGCTCTGGCCTGACTTCCAGCAGCGTGGTAGCATTTATCGTCTCATTTGCTTTTAGCATTGTGTTCATGCGATATACTCACATTGTTGAGACAGCAGTAATTCACTGTCCCTGCTTTCTGGTATAATCGGCTGTCTGTGGGTTCTGAACCAATGGATCAGAAATACCTGGGAAGGGTGGGGTGCAGCTCAGTGGTACAGGGCTCACCTGACAGGCACGAGGCTGTCCTAAGCTCTGTGCCCCACTCCCAAACAGAAAGGCTGTGAGTACACGTTGCTCCCTAGAGGATGACCCTACCTTATGTAGCCCTTACCTTGTTTTTGGTTTTGTTTTGTTTTGTTTTGGTACCGGGGATTGAACTCGGGTCCTTGCGCTTGCGCAGCAGACAGTGAAACCACTGAGCTAAATCCCCGGCCCAAGCCCTTACCTTGTGTTGAGGTTCTTGGTCCTAGAGGTAATTTAAACACTGTACCTTTGTGGACCCCACCACCACCACCAGGGATCAAACTCAGGACCTTGTGCTTGCAAGGCAGGTGCGGCACCAGCCCAACACTGTACCTTTTTTTTTTTGGTACTGGGGGTCGAACTCAGGTCCTTGCGCTTGTGCAGCAGGCAGCAAAACCACTAAGCTAAATCTGTACCTTTTATATGAGGGTCTTTAGCATCCTGCAGGGCACCTTGGAGCCAGGGGCTCTCTAATACCAAGTGTTGGGACTGTTTTCTGTTTCTAGTGTTTTTATTCGGTTCTTTTTCAAAACTACCACTTTTTCTTTGTTTGATGCTTTCTGTTTCCTGTCTTGTGACCTAATTTGGGCATTTTGAAGGCTAGAGATGTTTTCTGGTGGTTTCTAGGAGAAAGAAGTTCCCCTTTTTAAATTAAAAAAATTTTTTTGGTACCAGGTATTGAACTCGGGTCCTTCTGCTTGCGCGGCAGGCAGCGGAACCCCTGAGCTAAATGCTTGGCCATTTCCCCTTTTTTAAAAAAAGAGAGTTACTGGGCCAGGGATTTAGCTCAGTGGTTTTGCTCCCTGCTGCGCAAGCGCAAGGACCTGAGTTCGATCCCCGGTACAAAAAAAAAAAAAAAAAAGAGTTACTATGGATTGGAATTACCAAGATACATAGATATAACTGTAGATATGCTACCACACACATGCACTGTTATGGATGATTTAGAGCATGCATGGCAGGAGAAAGTGATAGGACCCCCATCTTTTTAATTTGGTGATATTTCTGACTTAGTCTCTTAAAGTTTGTGCTTTAGGTTGAAATAAATTGAAATTGAAGGGCAACTTCTGGTTATGACTGAGGAGATGGTAGATCGCTTCCCAAAAATGGCGATGATAAGTCAAGCATAATGGCTTAAAAATAGCTGGGGAGGTAGCTCAGTGTGAAGGACCTGAATTCAATGCCCATTGTCACAAAAAAAATAAAAACAAAACAGCAGTAAGAAAACAAGCTGAATGAGTTGGCACCTGCTTTTAATCCCAGCACTTGGGAGGCTGAGGCAAGAAGATCGCCCACTGAGAATTAGAGGCCAGCCTGGGCTACATAATGAGTTCACGGCCAGCCTGAATTGCGTGGTGAGACCTTGGATCACCCCACCACCTCCAGCAATGATAAAGCAAAACCAAAGTGGCAAAAACCATTTTAACATTGTGAAAATCAGCCAGAGGCATACAACACTCCTGGAAGTGCTTGTGTTTAAAAATGGCCAGGGCCCGGGATTTAGCTCGGTGGTTCTGCCCGCCTGCCTTGCAAGCGCAAGGTCCCAAGTTTGATCCCTAGTACCAAAAAAAAAAAAAATCCAAATTAATCAGTATTAATCCAAAGTGAGCGCATCCCTGTAATACCAGCACTGAGGAGGCCGAGGCAGGAGAATTGCTGCAAGTTTGAGGCCAGCTTGGGCTACGCAGTGAGTTCCAGGCAAGCCTAAACTACAGAGCAAGACTCTGTCTCAAAAAAGAAAAAGTAGTGAAAGAAAATTGGCCATCAACAGAAGAATCAAAGTGATACTCTAAAAATACTTAACACAAAGGAAGACAAGTAACTGAGGGACAAAGACACAAAGGAAGACATGTAGAAAACAAATAGCAAAATGGCAAATGTGAATCCAGCCCTAGCAATATTGCCGTAAACCTGAGTGTTTTAAATTCCTCAACCAGAAGCCACAGGCAAGCCTGCATTCAGAAGACTGAGGCAGGAAGATTGCTGTGAGTTCCAGGCTAGCCCAAGCTACATAGTGAGCTTAAGGCCAGCTTGAAATACATAGCAAGACCCTGTCTGAAGGGAAGAAAAGAAGAAAAGAAGACATCAGGGATTGTCAGATGTTGGATAAAAAAGCGAGGTACAGATCAGTGCTAGGTGGTTTATAGGGGATGCCCCTCAGACTGAAGGACAGATGTGAAGGCATGAAGAGGGATATACCACAGTGAGCAGGGGAGCACTGCAGTGACTGCATGGTATGAGATAATGGACTCTAAGACAACGGTTACTAGAGCTGGAGGGACATTTTGTGATGACACTGCAGGAGGACACAGCCATCGTGAAGATGTGTGTAT